TTCTGAAAGACCTTGGCTTTGGCTATGATACTTTAACTTCTCCAGAAAAAGTATTTTTCTTTTGTATTCATTCACCTTTCCAGTGGAACATAGGACTTAAAGCTAGAGGCTTGAAGTTTCTGTAGCAGTGGTGATTATTTTAACAGGATGCGGTTGCTAGCCACATGACCAACCTTTCCTCTTTACCAGCTTTTACTTCTGGCTTAGCAAGGTAAAGGAGTACGTCGGCCAGGGATCGAACCCCGGACCATGTGCATGGTCGGCGAGCATCCTAAACTCTGTGCCACCAACATACTTAGAGAAAGTATAGTTCTTTCAAAATATTTGACAATACTAAGGTGGTGAGCCATTATTCATTAGTAAGCGGGATTCGAACTACAGAGAAACCAATTGACCTGTGAATCTGTAAACGATGGGATGGAACTCCGAGGAGGAGGATTGTAGTGAAATAATAAACCAAATTCACAATTACAAGAGATGATTTAAGAATGTACACAGAAAGGCTTGAGAACGTTGACTAGTCATCGTAAAATGAGAAAAAATATTTAGAGCACGAGAAAAATGGCAATACAATGATTATAACTAGCATATTAGTCTATATTAGTGTAAAACTTGAGCAGTTTTGAGAAATGTCAAAATACGTCGTCATCAAGAAGAAAAAAGTAAGATCCTTCTATACATAGATTCTCATAGTTCACTTTTTTCCCCAAGATTTATTGCTGAAGATTTTGTCTAGTATGACAATGAAAAGTCCATCATTAAAGTGTTCAGCTTGAGGAATTCAGGTAGCACCACCGTCCAAACGATTACTAGCCCTCTTATCATCGGATGGATGGCTTTAATAATCCATGCTTAAAACTGACAGAAGTTATCACAGTAAGGATTCACTCTTTATGATTACCCATATCCAAAAAGAGCAAACTTCCAAGCAGCAATACACACTTCCTTTGAGTGATAACTAGATATCATGTCTACACGCCAAATGCCACACACAAGCCTTTTGTATCCTTGCTGAAATCACACGCACTACAAGCTCTACCATTTCACTCGCTCCGTATCTTCAAGCTAAAAGTCAATGTAGTCCAGTCCTGTAGCATCATCTTACATTTGACAGGACCGAATCGCATCCAAAATACCCAAAAATTCCTGCTCCTCAAGGTGTTCACTCTGTATTTTATCAGTCAACGTCTTCATGACCTAGGAGGACTACATCTTCTGCATATGCTAAGTCACCGAGACTTTTGCCTGATGGTAGCAATTCAATCTCTAAGTTGCTGTTGCGGTTAATTCCATTACAGTACATCTATGATGAGTTGTCACCCGGAGAGATAACTATCCTAGCCTGGTAGTTAAAAGTCATAGGTGGGAGAGGGATTGAATAAACGCTTTTCTGAACACAGAGATTGGGTTAAAAATTTTGTTGTTGTTGTTGTGGAAACTGCCTCAGTTATGCTTGACCATGGAAGGTGTACAAACTTGGTGAATTGTGGTGGTGGCACATTGTATAGAATTGTAAAGGCTGAATTCTTATCAATCTTGTCTCCAAAGCCTCAGGATGGTCGGGGGTGGGTGCCTTGCGCTGCGGGTTGGCCACCCGTCCGCACACCTCTTGAAATGCTCCTATATGACCAGGCGTCTTACATAGCCTCTCTTGAGGAAGTCCTACTCACTGCCTTCACGTGGCGGAGGTGTTTTTCACCAAAGTGAGAGGGTGAAAGCGGATGCCCGGCGCTCTTCACCCGGTTGACTCTCCATTGGATGACAGTCTAGGGGAGATGGCTAAACCCTGATTCCAAACCTCCAACGACTGGCGTATGAAGCTCACTGGAGCTCACCGCCAGACGTATGGACAAAGGGCTTGTTGGATGTCCTGGATTTCTGGCCCCATTCAAAAAGGCGTATGAACCGAACTCCGGTCACCGGCTGACAATGGATAGTGGACTCCCTACTCCACTTCTACTGCCTTGTAGGTCAGTCACACTTGGTTGTGTAAAGGCTAGAGCTGCACTCTCAAACAAAAGGCCGAGCGATTCTGGGGACATCACTCGTACCAAATTCCCATGAAACTTCATGAACTCTCTTCATCAGATCGCCGCGCCTGGGCAGCGATGATTCGAGATGTTCATGAAGCCGGCTCATCCTCCCGTAGGAGATAGCCGAAGTAAAGTAAAGTAAGTAAGTCCATATCCACCACAAAGTGTGGTAATGTAGAACTCCTGATTGACTACGACTCTTTTCAGATAAAGCAATAAGAAGACGTAATTTGTCTGAATCGTGTAATGTATTTGCGCAACACATTTCGAACAATCTGATCACACACGGACTCTTTTACCTAACCACGTTGGGCAATACTCAGCTATAATTATTATTGTTCATGAACTTTAGGTCAACTAAACTGCGTTACACACAAACTCATACTTAATTTTTCTTTTGGAGTATTAATCCTATACATGCATTCTATATAGGATTTTTCCAGTTAACCTATAAAATTGAATGAATCATCTCACAAAGCATCTTTATTATATCTCACACATATAAGATTAGGAACATAAAAAAATAAAACATCAATGTCTTCTTTCCTATTATCCAGGAAAAGATGTTTTGTGTGTTAGAGGCTAATCCACGCATAACCCTATAATTAAGCGGAAACGCTGACATTATTATCAACATCAGATGAGTGAACCGGATTTACTTAGTTATAAGAGACAAGATAAAGCAGGCAAACAAAAAAAAAAAAAAAGAATCACAACCACATATTCTTCATCGATCGATATTAGACTCACATCTAATTTAACACCACTTTAATCAATCACACCTCTTTTGAATCTAAATATCTCCCGGAAGATCAAAATAATTCATTATAGACAAAGAAAGAGGTGATAAAATGTAGGAAATCGGAAAGTTGAAGTTCATAAGACAGTAGTGATAAGAAATCAAGCGTATAGTTTAAAGTTCACGGGGCTTCATATTCTACCGACTTATTGATGAGATAGAGGTGTTCTCAACAGGAGGACAAACTATATCTATTTAGTTAGTTCTCCTTATTTTCTAAATCTGATCAAACCAAAAGCAGACAGCAATCCATGAAGTCTTTCAGTTACACTGGAGAAATGTAGATTGTCTCGTTGGAGTCCCATCAGGATGCTGACAACTATAATGGCACTAGAGACATTCGAGGATATGTCTCACAAAATCCTTCTCAATTGTGCAGATGCATTCACCGCTTTGTAATCTCGCATATATCCATTACAGTCCTCATGTTATTAGATGGTTGGAAGCAATCGGTAGGAGGAATTCTTGGGCTTAGATCTCGTGTTAGTTGGTATTCACTCACCACAGTCAATCACAGTAAGGCGTATATCTGCAACCTTAAAGGAACTCATTTCCATTCTCAGACTAAATCCACGTCACCCAGTGCCACGTGCAGTCAGAGAAATTACCACTGAACAGCTATTCGGGCTGACGATTGACCTCTTGTAGGATTGTATTGGGTACTTTGACTGAACACTAGTGTCAAGGTTGCAAATATAAGCCTTGCTGACTGACTGGTGAGTGAATGTCAACTAGCGAGAAACCTTAGTCTAAGGCTTCATGGCGATTGTTGCCCAACCATGTAATATCAACAATCAACAAGTGCACTATGATGGTAAGCCGTCTAGATTGTTGACCACACTGCAAACTTGACTGACAGAATTCAGTCTGCAGCAAAGAAACGAAGAGCCCCACATTGCACTGGTTAATAACTAGTTTCCAATCAAAATCCTCTTATCCGTACATTTCTGCTTATTATAGTTCTTTTGAATGTTTTATTTTCTCTCCCTTGTGTGCTGTATATGGTGTGGCAACTTAAAGTCCTGCATACTTCTGTGCAAAGTTCGATGTTAAAAATCAATGACTCAGTAAGTCAGTTAGAGAGATGCTTGAAAACTGGGGAACACTTGGCAGCTACTTCATCCTAACTTGCGACTCTTTAACTGTGTGCAGGGATCGAACCCGGGACTTTCAGGTTACCAGGACGAACTGGTTTACCATCCAGCCACTTAGGCTGGAATTCAAAGACAATCACTTGTAACTTCTAACTTCTGCCACTTTGTGATATAGCACTATCCTCAACCAAATACCATCAATAAGCTGAATAGTTGGTTGGCTGACCGAAGAGTCCTAGAATTGGACGAAACGGCTACCCAGTGAGTGCACGCTGCCTAGGGACAAAACCTCATAAATGAAATTAATGCAAATCTCCACAAATCTCATAGAGTCAATATCAATATTATGTATAGCAATGGAATCCACTTAAAATTGAACTTAAGTTGATAAAACTGAATGGTTACACATTCATACAATCCTAGGTACAGCTTCGCTGTTTATAGTTTTAATCTACTAAGCATTTTAAGATGTCGAAGCCAGAATGGGAAACCAGATCGGAAATCTTCTGCATTACGGCTCAGCATAAGCAACAAGATTCGGATGTTCAACACCATTGTGAAAGTCAGTCAGTCAGTTCTTCTATACGGGTCAGAAACTCGGCCAGAGCTTCACGAGAAGCATTTCCAACAGGCCACTGCAGACTTTTACCAACAACTGCATTCGCTAGCTCCACAATGTAGGTCAAATAGCCAGCCAGAAAGGATTATGAAACAAGGAACTCTATGAGCACAAACCAACCAAGAACCAATCGCTCAACAAATATGTAGGAGAACATGGAAATGGATTGGGCACATGCCGCTGAGGAGACCGTCGAATAACATCTCGTGACGTGCACCACTGCTCGAGTGGAACCCGAATGGGAAACGACAAGTTGGGTGGAGGGGGGTCCTAAGGCTACATGGAGGAAACCGTATGAGGAGAGGAGGAGATAAGAGACTGTAGAGAATAGGAAAAAGCGGAGATGTGTTGTTGAAGCCCTCCCCCTCGTGTATTCCACTCGGAACCCCAGGGAACAATAATAATAATGATAATAATAACAATAGGCATTTTAATCTATTTCATTGAAAACTTACTAGGCACAATATCCGGTGTAAAAGTACGCGTTGCAGTTAACTGTTTGGCTAGATTTGAATCAGTTTCCCAACGTGAATCATAGATAAATCGATTTGTACGAGATGATTGTGCCGCCGCCATTGGCGCTTGACGAGCATATGGTTGACGTAATAATAATCCACTAGGTGTATCAAATTCAGCTTCACCATTTATCACTGATAAACGTATCCAACAGCTTAAAATTAAATCTTTCGGAGGTTGAGCATCAGTGCCACCAATTTTTTGTGCAAGAAATTGTTTCAATGTCATCGTTGATGTTCTAGTGACGATTGGAGCTGATGATTCCTGGTGAGTATCAGGTTTTACCATTTGTTCCTGCTCTTGTTCTTCATGTTGTTGTGGTCGCTGTTGTTGTTGTTGTTGTTCGTCTTCTTCTTCTTGCTGTTCTTCTCCTTCTCCTTCTTGTTCTCCTGTTTTTACTTCTACAGGTTCGTCATTGAGAACGTCTTTGTTTTGAACAATAGTAGGAACAGAATTTGGTTTACCCTCTGGCCATACTGTTAGTGTTGACTGTAAAAAGTAAAGCAAAGAGATACACCTCAGGAGTAATACGTTTAAAGTAAATATAAAAGGTGACTGACTAACCGTAGTTATGGCTGAATGATTTTGGCACTCGACTTCTAAACAGCAGGGGGTTATGGGATCGAATCGCCCTCCACCCCACCCAACCCCCCACTCCACTCTCCACTTATCAGAGTATGGACAACTAATCAACCCTTAGACAATAAGTGTACAGTTCTTTAAACAAACAGCAGTTACACATGTCAATACGACACTTGCCTAAATTACCCGGTGATAGGGGAGGATGGAACTTCAATGGAAAATCGCGAAACCTCTATATCAGATGTTCTTCGAGTTCTCATTGATTTCTTTAAATTGCTAAGAAGGTTTGAGGCAAATGTAATCTTGAAAGACAATTTTGTAAGACTTTTGTAACAGAAGACAAAAGTAAGTGAAGTTATGAAACATGGAGATTATGTGAACATTCCATACAGAATACTTGTTGGTGGCAATCGGCAGGAGGAAGTCTTGCACTTAGGTTTAGCGATAGTCGGCATTCACTCACCACAGTCAGTCAGCAAGGCATATCGGCAACATAGCCCATTGAGGAAGGCGATGGCTAGGCTAGACATGCGTAACACATGGCCTAATGATCTCAATCGATATAACTTCGCAACCTCATCAATTTATTTCCCCTCCCACCTACCTAGCACTCCACGCCTAATTTCAATATTGCTCACCTTGTTATACCACTGAACAAGGGAGATAGAACGCTGACACTTATGATCAAAGACAGCTAGCTAGCCTTTTCATGTCTTCCACTCTCAATGGTCATGTATCGCAGCGATAAAGGGCGGACTGCTGAGAGCAGTACACACGCCCTTTGGTCAACAGTCGGATATTACTTCTAATTTAGTCAAATATATTGCCTTGGATTTTATATTAACCTTCTGTAAACGCTGTGAGTGTGTGTGTGTGTTATGAAACTACAAAATGACGAGATAAGTCTAGTACATAACTGTTACTTTTTTGTAACCTCCACATTGCAGAATGAAAATGAGATATAAGTACATTCAAGACAGGACACTATTACCACAAGACATTATGTCTACTGAAAATGTAAAAACCAGTTGTTGTTTTTTTCGTATTAACTTTTCAACCATGAAACTAACGTGTCTCTCACGACAGCTTATTTATACACTTCCAAAACTTACAAAGTTATCCAGATTTTTGAATAAAACGGTAACAGTCCCTTTTAATATTTGACTTCTTCATACTTCGTATGATCCACTGGAACATGAAAGATAACGAATGTGTGTGACTCATATATTAACTTAACCACTCAGTTTCCTGCCTATGGGTTAAGAGTTTGAGTTCAGTCCCCTTCTCCCCCCTACCCTACTTCCGCCTGGACTACTCCTACTCCTACTACTACTGGGAAGTATCATCGATCTTCACACGATATATGTAGCTGGCGGCTGGGTACATGAAATGTTTGTTCTAGGCAGTTGTTGTTGTTGTTGCAGTTAGTCACAGATAAATTTGACTTCTGTGTGTGTCTTACTACTCACTGTAGAGAAGTTTTCCAAATGATCCGTTGGCTACACACCGTCTTGACTGGAGGCTCATTTTAGTCAAGTTAGAAAACAACCAATAAAAACAATAACATTTTCAAGTGTTGGTTTGTAGGGATTTAATTGGTTACAGGATTTCATCATGAGCTGACATTAGTTAGAGAACCATTGGAAAACCAAATGGGAGTACTGGACAGCTGTTTCGTCCTAGTTTGGGACTCTTCACAGTACGCACCCACCGGGATTCGAACCCAGGACCTTCTGGTTACAAGGCGAGCTCGTATACCATTAAGCCACTGGGACCCGATCCAATGGCCCATGAATTCTAACTTCTGCCAATTCAAGACATAGCGCGACCCCTAGCCAATGTCTTCGGCAAGTATTTGTCCTCATACCCGACCTGCTGCACCCTACTGGTCACGACTTCTCACTAGAACCCCAGGTAACTACCTACCTGAATAGGGCAAGTCGCTAGTGAGCATCTCATTGATTTTCAAGTGTTGGTTTGTAGGGATTTAATTGGTTACAGGATTTCATCATGAGCTGACATTAGTTAGAGAACCATTGGAAAACAATAACACTCTGACATAACATATTTTGATCACAGGGTTATTTTAACCGGTTATTCAAGTTGTTCAGAGCGAAGAGTCTCTTTTCGGCGAATTCATTTTCATAGCTGTACAATCGCCAATATGTATGGTTGATTTGTATGTGTGTGTGTGTACATTAAATTTGTCAAACGAAAATACAAGTAGTAAGTTCAGATGAATTGGATGTTGACTTAAGAGGCTAGTAACAAAAGTGATGAGTTGTCACAAACGATTGTTAAAGAATGGTTACGTAATAACGTGGATAGTTTTATGAAAGAGTTGTACTCAGGGTGTACATGGAAACAAAATAACATACGGAATTACGCAAGAGTTTTATGTAGTTAGAAAAATAAGCATACAAACAAAAGTTAAGTCAAATCAACGGAGTTGTTACCATGAGAGTAGAAGTGGTTGAATAATTTTCTTTTGTGTGCATAGTTCTGGTTCTTTCAACTGAATGGCTATGGCTTCTGCCATGCAAAGAAGACGGAAACTTTGGAAGGTTATTCATCACTCCTCCTCCTCCTCCTTCAAAGTAATCTACAAAGTGAGCAACCAGAGCTAGGCATACAAAAGAAAATTATTCAACCACTTCTACTATCATGGTAACAACTCCGTTTATTTGACTTAACTTTTGTTTGTATGCTCATTTGTATAACTACTTAAAACTCTTGCGTAATTCCGTATGTTATTTTGTTTCCATGTACACCCTGAGCACAACTCTTTCATGAAACTATTCACGTTATTACGTAACCATTCTTTAACAATCATTTGTGACAACTCATCACTTTTGTTACTACCCTCTTATATCAACATCCAATTCATCTGAACTTACTCATTGTATTTTCGTTTGACAATTTTAATGTACACACACAAATACAAAACAACCATACATATTTGCGACTGTACAGCTATGAAAATGAATTCGTCGAAAAAAGACTCTTCGCTGAACTGCTGGTCTTCCGTCTATTAATCTTCGAATGGGAATTTTTCATGAATATTCAAGTTGTATCATCATAACAAAATCAAATATGAGACATCAAAATTAAGCGAAAATATTTAATAAAGTTGAGGCATAGTAGTAGTAGCAGTTACTGCCTACATCAAAAATTTTAACTTACATCATGTCCATCAATTACAGTAATAAATTGCCCCAGACCACTTGTTTCTAAATGTGTCAGTGTCCATTGATTTTGAATAATCCAATCAACAGATGGTTCTATATTAAATCTTGATTTCCATTCTTGTACAACATTTTCATTTAGACCACATGATACATTGTATGGCTTTTCATCGCATTCTTTTATACAATTTTCGTTAGACGGTGATATTGTAAGTTGAGGTTTAGCTAGTTTCAGGAGAGAAAAAAATTACCACAATCTAAGTTTATGTAAAAAATTTCATATCTTTCGGCGAAATGATACATGATTACACAATTAGGCATATATGTGCATTACTTTCTAAATATCTTACATTTAGGGGTTGAGGATGTCGAAGAGCTCACGGATAGTACGATTTATGCTAACGCAAGATCTAATACAAACAACTTCTAAAGTATTCGTTTTGCTTAGACCAAAGGCAAAGTGAAACAACTAAACTGATCGTCCAAGTCACAAAGTGTATTTCGGGACCAAATCAGAGTGCGCGGTTGATTGCTTAACTAGCTAGGGATAGTGCACGAACGAACGAACGTAACAACACGATGGCATACCCTACTGTATCCTCCTCAACTAAACTTCACTTCAGCTTGTCACACACATTGGCTTTTCTAAACCACCTGAATCATTAAGAATACACGACTAAATTAGCCTAAATTATCTTTCTTTCTTATGTAACCACAACAGTATATGTCACGTGGTCCCAACCACCATGAGCTCTCATTCTTTTAGAGGTGGCAGGTGAGACAGGATTACTACCATGCAGCTGATGCGCCCTTTGATAAATAACCAAACATCTTACAGATTGCAAAAAATATGGAGCAAGTTGGTGTGCATTTCAAATGAGACTTTTGTATACATGGTGAAATTTTTTCAACAGTCAGCTATCTGGTTAAGCACAACGCGACCTGCAGAATAGATGATTAAGTGATTAACACGTGGTTACTACTGCTTCCTGAAAAACCACGAATACATTCTATGAACCAACCACGGATGTATCCAGTTTCCCCTTTCTGCACTACTAAATCACTCTTACAATTAATGACTAGTAGAAATGGAATTAACAGACGGAAAAGTCTATGACATCCTAAAAACTAACACATTTACCGTTCGCCTACACCTACCTGTATTCATAACATGACTAAGTATTTACGATAATGAGATATTAGGAAAAGTAATCCGCCATCACTATGTTACCGTAGCGCTAAATAACTGCTAGTGTAGTTTGCAATGCGCCACACATTATGAAAGCTACTAATACTAGCTGGGTTTACTAATAAAACCGGTAGAAATTGGCGATGTGGTTCAGTGGTTTAAGTAGTTGAATACTGCCACCACCTAATTCAGCCTTAGCAAATGTAAAGTACCAACATGCATGGCATCACATGTCATTTTACTTAGGAATGTCTACTAATTACAATACACTTAATTAATTTGGTCAACCTTGGTGTATTAAAAGCATTTACACTGATAAAATTTCAATAAATACTTACGAACTACTTTAATTGAGGTTGAAATGCGTGCATGTCCGTATTTAGACGATAAGCGAACAGATAGTTCACAATCTTGTCCCAGTTTTAAGCTTGTGATATTGATAGTAATTCTTCTATTTGTGCTTTCTCCATCCAAATGGAAATCTATGTCCAGCTGAGAAAGTTGTTGTCTAGAATACTTGAAGTTATCCTCAATCGAACGACGAAGTTCATGTGATGAAGTCGATTCTAAGGAAGCTACACCGACGTATACTGCTGTATCCAACGTGTCATCAAACTCACAAACAGTACCAAAGTTATTGTTTTCCATTACATAAAATAGCTCTTTCAAACATTTTGGATCTTTGAAGACAGGAGGCGAAACCACTTTAACATCATAAGTGAAAACTAATCTATCAGAAACATCAGTGTTAGATTTCACAACAAGCGAATACATCCCAGACACTGATTCATCTACAACATTTGGAAGCTGATAACTGTATTTCGTGGCTGCTTTCTTAGGTAATAGCTGTTCATCTTTAAACCAGTGAAACTCATAATCACCTTGCGGTTGACGATATAAAGCTTTCAGCACAAATTCTTCCAGTCTACTGCCTTTGGATATAACATACTCAGATGATAATGCTGTCAGAGGATACAGTTCCCTATCGCTGGGCTCCATAACGTTTTTATCTATTGAAAGACCACCAGTAATCACAGGGAATTCAGAACCACCAACTTTACCAGCAAACGTTTTGATAGGCCCTACCTGATATAAATGAGTGCATACAATTGCTACAGACTTTTTGTCGATAAAGTTAGGGTCCGTAAGGTAGACACTGCCATTTACGTATGTGACGATAGTATCTGGAGGAAATGCAGCAGTTTTCTCAGCACACGTGACAGCATTCGGGCTCCCTGTTGCAGAGCAGTATTTCCATCTGTATGGCCCGTATCTTCCATCAAGTTGGTGCATCCAGTATGGCCACTTTAATTCAACATTAGTGTCATCTGAGCACCTAAATTCATGTGGAAACGATGATAACGGTATAGGTGCAACCACATCAATTTTTCGAGATGCTGTGTCCTTTAACTGGCGTATATAGAAAACAGCGTCACGTATCTCTATTTCATTAGACTCAATAATATTGAATTCATCGGCAGCAACGACACAAGAAAAAAATCCGCTGATTGGGTTGGACATATGAGTTTCTCGAGATATACTAGTAGAAAAATTCGCTCCTTTTCTCTCGTCCACAGTGAATTGGAAATCTGTATTAAGGCATGAAAATGTGCCTTCAACTTTTGATAATGGTACACAAGAACGTTTTGGATCTTCCATACTACTTCGGCAGCAAAGTGATATTTTCTGGAGTGGATTTCTCTGATTGTTCACTAGACAAGAGAACGTCAATTTTAACTCCATAACAGGACTTCTTTGAGCAAAGTATACAGTTCTCTGTTGCGTAGCTGAAGCATCCAAAATAGCTGTGGGTCTATCATCTGTTAAGAAGATTAGTGATTCCCCAGAAGCTGCATTAAGTTTTTCGAACCTTATAAAATCCACCGACAAGCCTTTTAGAATTCATAAATATTTTCATGAAAGGAACTTACTTCTAGAAATCAAAACCAAGCACACAAGAACTCGAAACAACATCACTCCGCCGAGCGACTTCAAGGGAGCGAGTTTGTATTCCCACCAATAGGTAGAGTTTAACAAGAAGCAGAATAACGAACCGCCTTGAACGTTTAATATTTCAATCTTCAATGTCTATCTGACGGGTATGCAAAATCTTTTGGTTTATTGTTGATCACTGCTCGATACTGCTAAATGATTGCAGACGTTTAATGCATTCCAGGATGCATTTGTAGTCGACTGTGGCAGTTCTGTTGATTTCTCAGCTCATGTTGACGTGTGGGGGGAGGGAAGTGTTTCTATGACTCAGTTGAGATTCTCAGAGATGTTTTCATCACAAAATCCTTCAAACCATTTGAAAAAACACAAAATGGGGTTTAATCTTAGTGTGAGCGAAAGTGTCAAGTTCTGTAAGCGTAACTAGTATAAATCAGAATAAACGAGCCTAAATGAAGATTAAGTTGATAAGCATAATAAAGTTCAGAAAGAGACCAAACCGTTTGACTTTTCATTCTGCTCGAACAAGTTTACAAGTTGATGGAGCTATTTTTACATCAATAAGCAATCATTCTGATAAGCACCAAGCTTTGAGAGAAAATAAAACAGACCACATCTGCGTCGTTGGGCTATTACTTTCGGATGCCGTTACAATAATACGTTTATTTCCGTATTTCTCAGGTTGTTCTTTATTCTGTTGATCGTTGTCATTTGGCCTCTGATTCTACTATTTTACCCTTAGTCGCATTCTTCTGGTCGTTTTATAGGAGATTGGCATCTCGCTTCAAGAGTGTAAATCCCAGGTGTAGCCGTAGGCATATTTTGTACAACTGATTAGAATAGGCAAAAGAGAAGATGAATGTTCTAATCAGCGAAGGTTGCTTAAAGTAGTCTTGGGTTCTCCTGATGAGCGGAATCATCTACTAGCTAATGCACACAACCTTGCCGGGTCAGGAATTTCAGTCAGACCTGATTTATCTCTTGAAGACAGACTTAAACGAAAAGAAGTTTTGTCCCAGCTAGAAACAAGACGTAAAAATGGTGAGACTAACCTTAAACTGGTGGTTTTTCAAATGGTCAGGTCTTGGAAACGTATGCTTCCAAGACCTGTGTGGATGAGCTAGACCGCATAAGAAGCCTGAAGGTAGTGTACACTGACATACGTATTATTGGGAACAAATTTCACGAGCTAGGTGTATTACTGGAGGACCTTAGCCCAGGTATTGTGGCCATTACTGAGACATGGCTGGTTTTTGGATTGGATGACACACCTGAGCTATGCGCATTTAGTTGCTTGCGCAGCGACAGGGTTAAGGGTCTTAGAGGTGGCGGGGTTGCTCTGTACATCTACAACTCCCTATATGTTCGTTCCGTGAAATCTGAAGCGCATGACAGTGGGACAAGTGAGGTAATTAGCTGTGAAGTGAGCTTTGCAACTGGCACTCTACTCATTTGAGTTCTGTATAGAAGTCCCTATTGTCACTGTGATGACTTTATTTTAGATCACCTCAAACAATGGAGTAAACACAGTAGCTGTCTTATTCTAGGTGATTTTAACGCACCTCATATAGACTGGGTAGCTGTCACATCTCCAGGATCCGCTAATAAGTTTGGCAGCCGGTTACTCTTTACTACCATGGAAAATACCCTGACACAACATGTCTTAGGTAGTACAAGATTCGGTTCTACCCAAGGATCTTCCTTGCTGGACTTAGTGCTTACTCATGACAACGACGACGTGGATGGTCTAGTTATTCATCCACCTCTAACAAACAGTGATCATGGGGTGCTAGATTTTAACTTAAGGGCTGGCAATTTAGTCAGTTTTCAACCCAGATCCCGACCTAGTGTTTGGCATGCTGACATAGTCGCCATAAAGGAGCGTGCTTCAACTGCCGACTGGTCAGTCAATATTGTCTCATCCATTGAAGATGAATGGGATAGATTTAAGAATACACTTGAGAGGGTTACCACTGATTTCATTCCCTGGAGGGTTCCTAAAAGACCAACAAATCGGCCACCATGGATAAATAGACAAGCTAAAACACTCCTAAGACGGAGAAAAAGGTTCTGGAATCTCTTTGTTTCTACTGGGCTACAGCAGTTCCGGCTGAAATACTGTGAAACCAGAAACCAGTGTGAAACTTTGATTCACCAGTCAAGGATAGCTTACGAAACCCAGTTAGTTAAAAGTTCACCAGGCTGCCCGAAAAGACTCTTCTCATATATCAAGAGAAGAACACGTAAGAGTGATGCTATCCCACTCCTTATGCTTGAAGATGACCAGACAAACATGGCCGAGGATAACTTGACTAAGGCTGAGGCTTTGCCCAAGCACTTTAGTCAAGTATTCTGATAATACTGATACCAGCTTTGTAACTTTTCCAGAAGGTGACTTGAAAATGGCATCCTTACGCATTGGAAAGGACACTGTCCTAAAGTGGCTTCTTAGGCTCAATCCTGGTAAGCCCAGTGGCCCTGATGAACTCCACCCACGTATATTAACAGCATTGGCTGGAAACATAGCCGAGCCCTTGTCGGTAATCTTCAATATGTCTCTGGACCAGTCTAAATGTCCAAGAGACTGGAAAGATGCCATCAATAGTCCGGTCTTCAAAATCGGATCTCGAAAATTAGTTCAGAACTGTTAGTTTGACCAGTATTGTTGTTAAACTACTAGAAAGAATAATTCGTGATGCTATCATTCAGTTCATTGAAGGGAACAAACTTTTCGCTGTGAAACAGCATGGTTTTAGAGCAGGTCATTCTTGCTTGACCGACCTTCTTTTGGCCAGAGAAAGTTGGGCAAGCTCAGCTGATGCTAATATACCGGTGGATGCCATATTCATCGACCTAAGCAAGGCGTTTGACAGGGTTTCTCATTCAGGTCTTCCAGTAAAGTTAGGTAGTCTGGGAATCAATAAAGTGGTTTCCGACTGGATTCAAGACTTTCTAAAGGACAGAAGACAAAGAGTACGAGTTAACGGGGCTTTATCAACATGGGAATCGGTTAAGAGTGGCGTTCCTCAGGGTACAATTCTAGGCCCAATTCTTTTCCTGATTTATGTTAATGAGATCCCATCGGTAATTAAGTCATCCTGCTTACTGTTTGCTGATGACATCAAGATATGGAGGGCTTTACACGACGACAGTGATCAACTTGCTTTGCAGGAAGATTTAAACTTGTTAAGTGATTGGTGTAAGCACTGGGCCTTGGAGATTAACTTAAGTAAGAGTGTAGTTATGCATGTATCTCATAGTCACGTGCACAATTACTCAGTGAATGGCATTACTCTCCCAGTGGTCACTGAGTACAAGGACTTGGGAGTGGTTGTGCAGCATGACTTGAAAACAGCAACAAACTGTATAGCTGCAGCCACTAAGGGTTTTTGAATATTATGAGCCATACGCAAGGCTTTTGCGAACTTTGACGCTGATATATTTCGTATATTATATCCGACTTATATCAGACCTCATTTGGAATATGGGATAAAGGCAGGGAGCCCCTGTTTCAAATACGAAATAGACTTATTAGAAAGGGTGCATAGAGTAGGAACTAAGCTAATGAAGGGTTTCTCAACCCTCTCATATGAGGAGAGGTTAAGTCGACTGGGTTTATTTCCACTGTCATACAGACGACTTAGGGGTGACCTAATACTAGCATACCGTATCCTAAGAAATGATTTTGGAGCTAATTTATCTAATTTATTTCTTCCTTCTAGCACCAACCAGTTGCGAGGACATTACCTAAAGGTTCAAAAACCACGGTCGAATCGTCTGCGTCTGGAGATCCGTTTTTCGCATCGAATTGTGAACCATTGGAACTCCCTAACGGAACACGTCGTATCATCGCCATCTGTTGATTCATTCAAGGCGAGATTGGACCTCCTGTGTGTAACAAATCGAAAGGATTAACACAGGCATATAGCCTACTATCCTAAATAAATTGTAAACTGTAAAATTTGTGAACAGTTGAGATATAGGGACACCTAAATGATGGCGCACTAATTAGAGGGCTGTGGTGGAGTTGGGTGTTCCTCTTGCTTACTTGGTGTTTGTGCTCGTTTTTTCATTTGGGAGTAGCTCATCACCATGCCGGTTTATATAGATTTTCACGTTAACATCACCGGGTTACGTCTGGCACTGGCATTCGGAGATACACTTGTCCACACCAAGCGTCACACCGCTTGCTGTAACTCAGTTAAATCTTCTTGCAACCTTAGAGATTTGTAATCCGCTCATGCAGCCGTTGGGAACCAGCAAGAAAAGCAAATAGACTGCTCAAATTATTTAGGAGATCATTTGCGACGATAAGAAATAACTGTGGTTTTCAAGTAGTGCCTCTGGATGTTCCTGTGGGGGGAGTTCTACTCGCAGAGCATATTCAAATTATCTTAGCGGGAGACTGTAAACCTTCCAGGCGGATTCATACTCAAGATAGCAATTGTTTGTTGACCAGTGAAGGATTTCGTATAGCATAGAAATGGCAGCTTTTACTACATCTAGGAACAAAACATGTGCTGGGATTTACAGGTTTCAGCATTGTGTCGTATCGTTTTCATGATTCTAGCAACTTGGAAACGTAGGATGGTTTCTCTCTACAGCAATTTTGAGCACCATGCAGGATTCCGTTACAACTGTCCCCATTGCAATTATTTAAGGAGCTTTTCTCTGCCTTTGCGCTACCGGCAGTACCTACTGTTTGAACATTTGCCATTATGAAAATAGTTGGCATACTGTCACGTTTCCATGCCATCCGGTAGAGACAGAATGGGGTGCTTAAAGTCTTAGTGCACGATTTGAGAGTTACTGGTCTTATTTAGTCACATATAGCAGGCTTTCCTGGGTGACATTATGACGGCTTCTCCATGACCATACTTGTTTCAGTTTGCAGAGGGGTAATCCTTGTGCTCTGCAGTGGGATGTCGTTGCATGTTCACTGCTCGTGAAATCAGACACTAAAATATTGACCAGTCTTTAGGTTTCTGGTGGGGCATGCTCCTTGAGTATAGCATTTTCTGTGAGTCATGAATATCTAATACTTCTTGGGATTAGCTTACAATTTTTGAATAGGTTTGACTTAAATGGCCT